GATGCTAATTTTCCATTAGCATAGCCAGTTTGGCCTGAATTGGAAGCAGATGCTCCTGCGAGACCGATCCCACTGCTTCCTCCCTTTTGTTGTGTCTGTTTGAGGAAACCATACGACCTTGGCTCAAACAATATGACGAGAAACCAAGGCCAGAAGTGGTGCTAAATGTATACAAGCACGGGAAGAGCGTGTACAAAGTTTATTATATGTACGCCTACTTGTTCTGTTTGGACTAAATGTAGTTTATGCAGTAGCCGAAGCACTTTGTGCATTAATAAACCGGTTATTTTAGGGCGATGAATAAGTGTTGGAGAGGCGTAGTGTCTCCCATGCCCCTATGAGCAATGGACACTTGCATATCAGCAGACATATATTTATCAACATGCCTTTCCACACTCTTAAAAATAAAGTTTTTTTGCAGCAATCCCCAAATAACTTTTTATAAACAGTTCTTAAAGAACCTTTTTTTTTCCTTATAACCTTTTATCCAATGGAAAGGTTCCAGGAAACCCTTTCCAGGTGGTACCTTTTATTTCTTGAATTCACCATTCTGACAAACCGAAAGTAGCTTAGAGTTATGTGTGAGCTGTGCTTTATACACCGCCCAGCCAAAAAACTAAAACAAAAGTCGCTGTTTGGATTTAAACAGGCTAATGCTTAAGAGTCTATGATTGGATCATTATTGCAGTGATTATTATGTTTCTAGCATGTTATATGTTTGGCAACAGTTCTTCTAACACTAATTGGTGGAGTGTGTTGCTTTTCATTTCTTAAACAACCATGTAGGAAGGAAGTAGTGTTGTCAAAATTCCTGACTTCTGTACCGACTCGTTACAGAAATAAAAAAAATGTGGTGATACCATAATTTCCCTGTAGCATTTTGAGCGCTGTTGAACGGATTCTTAAACACCTCTGATTGGCCATGGTGTTCAAGCACTCAACATATGTCTGTGATTGGCTACAATGATCAACGCTTCAATTGTTTCATGTTTTATTTACCGAGAACTTACACAGATACAGGGGCGTAGGAGCCATTATACGTGGGGGCCCCCCCACCCCCCCCCCCCCCACATTTCAAAATCTAAGTTTTGTCCCCCCCACTATTTCCCAATGTAAGAATTTTTTTTTTTGCATTGCCTGCCTATCTCTGCCAATTTCAGAGTCTCCAAATGAATCAATTCGGCAACTTTTAAAGCTGCAGTCCGTATCTTTTCCTCTTTGTCGCCATCTCTCTGTTCGAAATCTGTAACTGCAGTGATTCGCGGAATTATCATCTTTACGTGGGTTGTAAATCGGCATGAAGCAGCGCCGATGAACACAGTGCTTTGAGGCGAGTGCTGCTGTCAGTCACCGCGCTGTGTGGATACTGGCATACAGAATCACAGATTCACTTTTTGAAAGTTTGACCAACATAAGAATTTTCATCAGAAAATGTCTTCTGAACAAGTAAGTAAAATCCATTTTTGTTCTGACCAACTAAGGGGGAAAAAGCATTCGACATGATAAGCTTCGTTAGATTTAATCAACGCGATTTACAGCAACCGTGCAAATTATAGCCTACTTTGTTCTCAAATTGTTCATGTTAACAACATCAGCATTGCGTGACTAATGTTAAATTTAATGTGTTTTATGGTTACCTGTGTAGTTCAGAATTCATATTCTCCATAATAGCAAAACGAGAAAGGCACAACAAAGGAAACTCCATAACTGTGTGAATTAAGAAAACGTACTGTTACACGATTGAACTATTGAAATGTCTTACTTGTTCAGCAGAAAAAAGCCGTCTCTTCTTCCGTTTCGAACCCCTTCAAAACACGGAGTTCACGCACTCTTCAAAAGCCCCGCCGATGTTTAAATCCTTGTGTTCGCATGAGACGGTTTCTTTCTCTTTCTCTAGCCACCTTAAATCCGAAGTACGAAGTCTTTTGGGTTTTATAACTGCTGAATCTCCAGTTGACACTGATGATTGTTGTTTGGATCTTTCTGGATGCCATAAGTTTAATTATGTAAAGTGCTGCGAGAAAAGCCTATACATCTAAACATCTCGTCACGCGCAGTATAGCCGGCTAGCCGAAACTCCTTCTTTATGTGTACGGGTGTGACGTCATGACGCAAAGACATGCTCGAATTTCCCGCGGAAACCCACCAGTACCACTGGAATTAAAATCATTATTACAAGCTAACCGTTTTGAATCTAGCTACGGCAAGCAGATAGTTTTGACCACTGGCAGAATAAGTTTTTTTTAATATAATTATTTTGGATTTTTTTTAACTTAAAGGTACGGACTGGAGCTTTAAATACATAATTCAATTTTAAAAAACGGCCGTATATTCTTCAGCTGCTAATCTCGTTGTCAGTCGACCATGATCGCGCATGCGCATCTAGGTGACACAGATAAATGTACGCAGCGATATATAATGAGTGTTCCTGGGAGATCCTAGTTGCGCGGGATGTGGAAGCGTGCAAAAGTTCCAGAAATGTACATAAAGTGCCCTGGCCTTGAATGACAAGGTAAGGAAAATAAGACTAAATCTAAATTAAATAACCAAGACTAGGTTGGCCATGTGATTTTTCTCAGGAGATGTTTTGAGCATTTTACTTCAGACACTGGATTATCAGCAAACTGCCAAGAGAACTGCTAGCTGGCTACTCAAAATAAACTAGCAATCTATTCAGGCAGCATATTTGTGTTTGATCTGTGTGAATTACAGAAATATAAGACTTGCTAGACCTACTTTTAGCTACTAAGGAACCTTTCCACAAGGATAGATTGATTTTATTTTTCAATCTATCCTTGGGGGGTAAGCTAGGTGGTTAATGGAAATTAAATCAACCTTTTATTTGAGTTTTTAACTTTAGTTAATCAGTACATGACTGATTAACAGTAATGTAAATGCTAAATGTCCTAATACCTGTTGATACTACAACAATGCAAAGTATATGCTCTTAACCTTGCAGTTTTTCACATATCATGTAAGACTCATTTTCTCAATTTCTTTGCACAAAATTCTCCAGAAAGTGCCATTTAATGGTTTATTTTTCAAAAAAACTCCCGGGGGAGCATACCCACCGGACCCCCCTAGGGAGAGCCCACATAATAAATCCCAATTTAATCACTGCTTAGAACCAAACTAAGTAATACAGTCTGTTCCCATAAGTCATTAGAAATGAGCATTTAAGTGCCTTATATATATATATAAAAAAATATATACAAAAATCTGGGACGTTTACTGTCCCCCCCAGGTTCAAAATTGCTCCTACGCCCCTGCACAGATACACATTGATTGGAGTGTTTAAAAGCAGATGCTATCAGCGGATCCGTCTATCAGTGGATCTACTAGGGATCCGATCATTGATTGACTCCTGCTTTCAAACGCTTCTGTGTGTATCTGTGTAAGCGCTCTGTGAAGAGCGTCAAAGATTTCTATTTACAACATGTTTTTGAAGCGTTTTTTATTGTTGCCAATCACAGACATATGTTAAGCATGAAATGCTGGTATCATCAAATTTTTTAAATTTCAATACCAAATTGGGACCAAAGTCGGTACTTTTGACAGCACTTCTAAAGACACATCATGGCCATATTCCAGGATGACAATGTCAAGATTCATCAAGCTCAAACTGTGAAAGAATGGGTGTGAGGAGCATGAAGAATAATTTTCACATATGAATTGTCTCCTCTGAGTCCAGAGCTTAAACTCATTGAAAGTCTTTGGGATGTGCCGGAGGAGACTTTACAGAGTGATGGACTCTTGCTTTGTCAATACAAGATCTTGACCAAAAATGTATGTACTGTACCTCTTGATGGAAGTAACATCACGACATTTATTTCCATCAAGAGGTGCATCAACTTTTGGTCAAGATCTTGTATTGTCAATGCACCGCTATATTATTGACAAGAGATAATTAACCTTTTTGTCTAATGCCTATGAAATTTTGGTGAAATATCGTTAATGTGTGACCACAGCTTTAGTGTAAAGAACTTTTCAATTCAAATTTATTTGTATAGCGCTTTTCACAATACATATTGTTTCAAAGCAGCTTTACAGAAAGTGCATTTCAGAAATGTGCATAGAAAAATACAGTTAGTTATTCATGTATTAATTTAGGGCATAACATATCGCAGGCGTTTAGTCATCTCATCGCAGGTGTTGGGGCATCTGAAGTCTCCGTGAGAGGCTGGATACAAACTGGAGCTGACAAACACCATTTACCTCGGGACTAGCGTCCCGAGATAACAGCAGAAAAGTAGATGAGAAATAATTAGCGTAGCTGCTGTTCATAATATTAATGCATTCGGTCTGATTCAACAGTTGTATAAAAGGTAAGCATTATGTGAATGCTTGGCTAAAGAGATGCGTCTTTAATCTAGTTTTAAACTGGGACAGCGAGTCTGAGCCTCGAACTTTTAATAATCTAAAGATTTTAGTTTTCATCTATAAAGAACCTTTTGTGCAATGGAAGGGTTCCATGGATGTTAAAGGTTCTAAATGGAATCCTCAATGCCAATAAAGAACCTTTATTTTAAGCTGCTTTGAAACAATATTGTTAAAAGCGCTATATAAATGAAGGTGACTTGACTTGACTAAAGGGAGGATCCATTTGCTTTTTTTGCGACTCCACCCAGACTGGAGCAGAGAAGCTTGTGCTTCACCTAGGTTTACCTTAGGCAGACACCAATCCGCTCAGAGGTGAGACTGGCCTACGCTGGCTTCCTTACTGTAGCGAAATGCAGGATTACTGTGCATGGGCAGATGTCTTAACTTTAGAGGCCAGGGAGCGTTGGGTCACGAGAGGTTCCTGGCAAGACCGTAGTGAAATGTCTATGGAATATATATTTCGTATGATATGCCACTACTTAGTTTTCTTGATTGAACTTGAGGGCATGTGTGTCATCTAGAGCAGAGACTGGAGGAACTAGTTTGTTTTGTGTGTCTTTGGTTGTCATGATATGCTACACTTGTTGGCACTGTTTGATTTCACGACTTGTTCTTCACAGTTTGACAGACAGCCGCCATCATTCCGTGCTGCAAGGGCGACCCCAAAATGTCTTCCAACGGGGATCTGCAAGACGTTGGGAGCTGGGACAGCTTCTGGGAGGTTAGTATCCCACATTCTCTCTCTCACACACACACACAGACACAGATCTCCCTGGCAGAGTGGGCCGCATGCTGTGGCGTCCAGCCAGGGAGTTACAGACACTAAAGGAGCGGATTCCTGCAGATCCGACATTTCCAAGAGCTCTCTGAGAGCTTTCTACACTACAATTCTTCAAGCATGCTTGGTCAGGTCCATACTTGCCTTGGAGAAAACTAAGAGATATTAAGGGCTCTTAGATAGCAAAGTGAAAGTAGCATTTTGCCATCGGTCCTGTTGACTGTTTAGGGTGTTTTTTTTTTTTCTCCTCCATTTTTCATCACATGGACTTTTTCATTCCTTTGCGAAAAAGTTGCCTTTGTCTTGCACACTGGAGGACTTCTACATAACACGCAGTACATGGGACATAACTTAGTATTATGCCATGACTACTTTCAATTAACTCATCAGCAAAACTGCTTGGTACTGGGTGATGTTATATTTATTTTAACCCTGTCATTTATATGCATCACCAAATAGTAATTAGGCTTGTCACCACACCAAACTGTTATAAGTTTAACAAAACCTCACAGGTTTCATGATTCTCAATATCCCCACAATATAACTCGAGATAATTAATTAATTACTTATTAATTATGAATTATACAACTACTATAAGTATATTCACCCTTGCCCAAATACATACAGTACACTCATAGTAAACTACTATGTACTATATAGCAAATCTTAACTGCTTGATTGTTATATAGTCAAATGTAAACCAGTTGGATACATCCTACTTTGCCTGCATACATACACATTCTTAAAAGAGCTATATAAATACATTTGTCTTGACAGTAGTTTAGGTGTAGAATGCACCTATGTAAAATTGAATGTAGAATGTAAAATTATGTTATAAAATTATAGTATAAGCACACTGAAAAAAATTTGGAGTAGGATTTACTTGAAAAAAAGCTAGGCAACTTTTTTTCACTCGGCAAATCGTTGTAAATTTACAAGCATTTTCTAAGTAAAAACCTAAACATATTTATCAGTAGCTTTAATCAGAAATATTTAAGTTAAATTTACTTGGAATATGGAATTAAGTAAACTTTGTTAATTTCACTTGACTAGGTTAATTAAAGAAAATAAGAAATTTTAACTTGGCTAGTAAAAGGTTGAGTAATATCAATTTAGTTTAAATTTCCTTTGCATTACATTTCACTCAAACAATAATATTGATTTATACCAGTATGGGCTTTACTTAGAACTTCTAAGTAATTTATACTACATCATGTCAGATGTTAAACATCATGTGAATGCAAAGACCTCAATACTTGGTAGAAAATACACAATGACGGTAACATTTGATGGATCGTTTTTGTGTTTGAATGTGTCATTTTGAGCAGAAAATTTACTCAGTCACAAAATGGCAAGTTACTATAATCCTAACAACAAAAGCAATGATAAAACCGTGTAAATACAGCTGGAAACCAGTGAAAAATCATCCTCATTAATTATTCAAGGTCCAGTGCATGATGGGAACCCCAGTATCAGAAAAGTTGAGTAATTTTTACTTAATTTTATTAAGTTGATATTTACGCTTTCATTTCTACTCGCTTGAATTAAGTACTGATATGGAATTTACTTAGTTTTTTTTTATTCTTGCCTGAACTAACTTTTTCATGTAAATTACATTGTTTTTTTTCAGTAGTATTTACTTCACCACAAAATCATTTTTTACAATGCAAATACTTATGTTTTTCTGTCATAGACAGGTGTAAAAAAAAAAAATCAAACATATTGGTCAATTGACAATGTCTAAAACCATTTAAAGATATAAAGATTAGCCATGACTTTTACATTTAGATATCATTTTAGAAAAAAAAAAGAAAAGTGTGCCAAAGTGCATCAAATGTTGCACAAATAGAAAATGTTAACACAGTTTCACTTCTAGTATTATGAATATTAATAAATGTAAATAATCTGCAGCACAATAAGACTGTTGAGATGGGATCATGCAGTAAATATATTTTTTTTCTCATTTATATCCATTTTATGTTTTTGAATTATCAATCATTAATGTAGTTCCTTATAATTCTATAAACCTTTCACCCAAATGTGCATCAAGTTGTGTGGACCACTTCTTTTTTTTTTTTTTTTTTTTTTAAGATTTGTCATAAATGTCCTTGTTCATAAATGCTTTCTTCTCGTTTCACTTGATAACCGAAATACCGAAGTACTATCTCGTTTCTCCTTGCTTTGAGTAAACCTTAAACCAGTTTAGGAGAACTGTGCCATTTTTAACTTGTGTAAGTTACAGGAAATCAAATTCTAAAATCTTTAATTTAACGATTGACATTTATTAGACTGAAATTATATAATCACTGATATTCCTAGTTGTTAATTGTTGTGACCAGATCACTGAGTCTGTGAGTTTGACTCCGTTTGAGAACCGGATTCAGAAATTGATCTGTGTGCAGAGTTTGTGTATGACTGTCTAACATGACTTTCGTCGGTTAGCCTGGGAACTACAAGAGGACGGTTAAGCGCATTGACGATGGCTACAAGCTATGCAACGAGCTGGTCAGCTGCTTCCAGGAGCGGGCCAAGATTGAGAAGGGCTATTCCCAGCAGCTGGGCGATTGGGCAAGGAAATGGAGGGGTGTTGTGGAGAAAGGTCAGTATGCATTTGCGTCTTATCTTGATGTGACTGTAGAGGGATGCGTCTACTTTAACACATTCTATACTGATGAGCTGATAAGTGGCTCTGTCAAACATTTATAAATCTGTCTGACCTTTTGTTCACCGTATTAGTGCCCACCCGAAAATAGTTGCACAGTAGTTTGGGGAAAAGAAGGTATGAATGTAATATACAGTAATGCTGCCTCTGTTTCTTATGTTGTGTGCCGGTGATCTATCAATTTGTGTGGAAACCTTGTATCTCCAAATCAGCTACTTTTTAGGAAATGGAAAAACACTTCTTTTTTTTCTTTTCTTCTTTTTTAAAATAATTAAACACTGCCTTGTCAAAGTTAATATTGTGGTCAGACACGTTAGCCTCATAGCATAATTGCCTAAGTCATGTTTATTTGAAATATGTCTAAGGCAATTATGCTATGAGGCTAGTCCATTATATTATAAACATTTTACCAAAATCAAGCTCAAATAGAGTTGCAAGGTTTTTGACCGTTGAGTGTCGTGTTTTGTCCGTTATTAAAACGGCTGCATCTGATGCAGTAAGTGCATCGCATTACATTTTCATCAACTTACTGGTTAAGATCGTTTGGCCTCATGTTATAACAGATGAAGTGCTTCGCACAGGCTATTTAAAGTATTGGTTTCTCAATGACAAATGGTTGACTAAGACACACTTCTTTGCTCCTCAAATTAATAAAACATTAGCCATATTTAGTGTTTCGTGAGTAAAGAAAATGCTGCACCAGTTCTTTACTTACCCTTGCATTGCAAACAAGCAAAGACGTATGCGGCACTTCATTCACAATAGAAGTGGGTGGAGTTATAAGGTTTGATTGACAGTTTGAGGATCCAATGGAGTTATGAGCTTTAAACAAGCTCTTTTTAATATTTTTCATTGGTTAGATAAGTGTTTCCCAACCCTGTTCCTGGAGGCACACCAACACTACACATTTTCCAACTCTTCCTAATCGATCACACCTGAATCAACTCGTTAGTGGAGACTCCAAGACCAGAAATATATGGGTCAGAAAAGGGAGACATCCAAAATGTGCACTGTTGGTGTGCCTCAATGAGCAGGGTTGGGAAACACTGGGTTAGATATTTGCAAAAAACCCACAGACAGACGTTAAGGGTGACCAATCGTAATGATTTATGAAAAAAATGTAAATAACGAATTCTGGAGATACGAGTTTTCCGCCCAACAGCGACAATATACTGGATTTTGCATAGATGTGTTTACAGCACTTGCAAAATAACCATGAGAACAGTACCTATTTACATTTATGCATTTATCAGATGCTTTTATCCAAAGCGACTTACATTGCATTTCAAGGTACACATTTACTTTCTTATCAGTTTTCGAACCCATGACCTTGGCGTTGCAAGCGCCAATGCTCTACTGTTTGAGCTACAGGAAAGCTTTACAGTTTTAAGCATTCAGGATTCAGTGTAAACAAAGCCACTGTATCTTGTATTGACCTTAAGAAAAGTTGTGGATATTAGTGGATTACCTCCCAGTGAGAGCCTCCGGCTGGACACACATTCAGTAACCAAACCACGTGACCTTAAAGGGGCAGACGCACTGACCTACAATTATAATAAGAGGCAAGACGTGTATCTAGAGAAGAATATTATACAAAATTGGGGGTGTTTTTATTTTTTTTAAAGGATTAGTTCACTTTAAAAAAAACTTTTGCTGATAATTTACTCACCCCCATGTCATCCAAGATGTCCATGTCTTTCTTTCTTCAGTCGAAATGAAATTAAGGTTTTTGATGAAAACATTCCAGGATTTTTCTCCATATAATGCACTTTGCTGGGCACCAAACGGTTCAAGGTCCAAAAGACAGTTTCAGTGCAAACTGTTCAAATGGCTTTAAACGACACCAGACGATGAATAAGGGTCTTATCAAGCGAAACGATCGGTCATTTAAAAAATAAATAACAACGTTTAAGTTTTATAAGCTCAAATGCTCGCCTTGCTCTGTTCTGTGTGACTCTCCTGTTCGAACTCGTTCATCAAAATGAACGAATCTTTTTCCGAGTCAATTCGTTCATTTCGTTCGTTAAATGAACCAAATGACTCGAAAAAAGATTTGTTCATTTTGATGAACGAGTTCGAACAGGAGAGTCACGAACGTGCATCACAGAACAGAGCAAGGCGAGCATTTGACATTATTAAACTTAAACTTTGTTATTTATTTTTTAAATGAGCGATCGTTTCGCTTGATAAGACCCTTATTCATCGTCTGGAATCGTTTAAAGCCCTTTGAACAGTTTGCACTGAAACTGTCTTTTGGACCTTGAACCATTTGGTGCCCAGCAAAGTGCATTATATGGAGAAAAATCCTGGAATGTTTTCATCAAAAACCTTAATTTCTTTTCGACTGAAGAAAGAAAGACATGCACATCTTGGATGACATGGGGGTGAGTAAATTATCAGCAAAAGTTTTTTTAAAAGTGAACTAATCCTTTAAGTCGGGCCAGTAAGCAACTATCCAGTGTTATAAGCTGAATTCTGTTTTGTCTCCTGCAGGCTCACAGTATGGGACTCTGGAAAAGGCCTGGCATGCTTTCATGAATGCGGCTGACAGACTGAGTGAGATCCATATGGAACTAAAAGAGAAACTGGTTGTTGAGGACAGTGAAAAGATTAGAAACTGGCAGAAGGACGCCTTCCACAAGCAAATGATTGGTGGATTTCGTGAGACCAAAGACGCAGACGAAGGCTTCCGTAAGGCCCAGAAACCCTGGGTCCGAAAACTGAAGGATGTGAGTCTTCTCCTTTTGCAGAATACTACGCCATTAGTATGGATTTAATCCATTAAATGATGGCAGAGAGAACAAAGTATATCGGAGTTTAAATCCACTTTGTCTATCTTGTTTTGTTTTCATTGTAAGTTCATGATTACTATTGTAGTTAACTATTCATACTTTGCAGTCACGTTGACTACCATGGATACCTGGCGGGCAACAAACGGGTATTTTCAACATAGAGTCCTGTAGTTCCAGGTCTTATGAGTCTTTTAGTAGCTATCAAGTCTGTTAGCGAGCTAGCTGCGTAACTATGGACTAGAAATAGGATTAACTCCAAGGTAGCTTAATTGTGTAAAGCAGACAAGGTTTTTTAAGATAATCGAGCAGTAGTGATTCCTCCGTAAATAATCTAGCTCTACTGTTGGGTCATCTCTGGTTCTCATTGAAAACCATAGATATCACAAACCTCAAAACACCAACTTTTGTATAGTAAAACTGGCGACGTCCTGGCAAGATCCTTGATTAGTTTACTGGGTTTCGTTGCTGGAGAACGACGTTCTTGCCCGCCAGCCAGTACTTGTGACGTCACGTGCAAAGTATGAATTGGTAACAAATGAAATCTTATTGTAAAGTGTTATCATTTAGACCAGTGGTTCTCAAACCTGTCCTGGAGGACCACCAACACTGCACGTTTTCTTTGTCTCTCTAATCAAACACACCTGATTCAACTCATCAGCTCATTAACCCATGTCATAATGAGCTGATGAGTTAATTCAGGTGTGTTTGATGAGGGAGACAAAGAAAACGTGCAGTGTTGGTGGTCCTCCAGGACAGGTTTGAGAACCACTGATTTAGACGAATGCCAAAAATCAGCTTTTTTCCCCCATGCAATAAATAGATGGTGATCAGTGATTGTCAATCTCCAAAATGACTTTAGGGTTTCTGCAGGTCTTAAGTTTTAATTCGCCCTTACACAAATTAAGGGTACTGAAATCAGAGCAGAAAGTCTTAGTCATGTGCTGCGTCCCAATTCGCATACTATCCGTCCTAAATAGTATTCGAAAATAGAATTAGTACGTCCCAAATCATAGTATGTTGAAATGAGTGTCCCAAAGAGACCCGGATGGTCTACTATATCCGGTCAGAATCCGAAGTGCAGATCGATGCGCACGCTAACGCCTGATATTGCCCACAACCCATCGCGCGTTGGACGAGGATTCGGATAGAACTACAAACACGAGTGAAAAGTGTTCAAAAACCATAGACATGGAGGACGCGAGTCCGACGGTTATGTAGAGAGGTTTAGACAAAGGGGTTTGAGTGATTTATTATCAGTATCTAACCTGACGAAAATGTATTTATTCAATGTTGTCCACATTATTTTGCATCTGCAGCAGCATTGTGAACTTTTGCAAAGATACGTTTAGCCATTCACTTTTAAATGCATTATTATATTCAAATTCCAAACACATGAGGAGAGTCTCGGCATGAAAGACCCATGACTGGCAGATGAACGTGCGACAACAATTCTCTCCGAAATGGTAAGAAGTTATATTAGATTGAATGGAGGATTTTAACTGTGACGAGATGATTGACAGGGCAGTTTACGGTGACATGATCTGTCCGTTAAAGATGTCCCAAAGCTTGCCTACTCTTTTGCTACACACTCAAAAGTATGTACTTTTTCTTCACAAAAAGAGTACATACTTTTAGGGCGTAGTATAAGTAGGCGAATTGGGACGCAGCAATGGAGTTAAATGTTGCATGCATTGCAAGAAATTAATATCTTTCTCACTATGTTTGACCTGTTTTCCAATACAAATACCTAAACATCTTTAAATAAAGAGAGATTTACTTAAGGTGCAAATGAAAATGAATAAAATTATCTGGTAATGTGTTTCAAAACTTCACTTAGAATCAAGTAGATTTTTCTGAACAGATTGGCAGATATTTGTTCTTGATTTAATCATAAACTCACTGAAAATGATCAATTTCACAGAAAACGAGACTTCATGTTTTGTTATTTCTTATCTCCAGTAAATGCATCGTGATAAGAATCTTTAGACATTTGCACTGGAAAACCATACGAAAGTACTGAGGAAAAACATATTTTTTGTGCAGGGTGATCAGAAGGTTCAGTAAAAGATATTTCCATATTCTAGTGGTTGAGAGCAGAGTGATTGAAGCTACTTATAAAAAGCAAAAGTGAAACGTAATAGATATCTGTTGGAAGTTATTTTTTTTAACTCTGCTTCTGTTTCTCCTTAGACATGTTGTGTTCCCTTGACTTTATTCCTTACATTTTATTTACTTGGTCTTAAAAGGTCTTAGGGCCCTTTCACACCTCCCTTGTTTGGTCCGGACTTTCGGACTTTTCAGTTTGGTCCGAATCAAAATTACAGTTGTGAAACCTCCCCCGCACCACGGTCCGGACTAAACAGATGAAATTTGGTCCGACGAAAAGAGGTAGTCTCGGTCCGGATCAAACTGAGCAAAGGTTTGGTGCGTTTCTAGTGTGAAAGCATTTCTGTATGGTTCGGACTTTCAGACCTTTTACAGGAAGTTCTGGTGGTTCCCGCATAGCCGAAAAAACTGAAGGTGGCAGGAGAAATGAGCCGTGGCACACGGGGAGAGGAGGAGACGAGGTTTTTAATTGAAGTATGGTCTGAGGACATAATAAGAAGTCAACTTGCAGTCTTCTCCTCCTTTCCTGCCGGCGACGATAAAATGTTCGCACGACGAGGACGTTCATTTGGCGAATTTGGACTAGCCTTGTGTATAGTTGGTGCTGCAGGTAATTATGCCATAAAAATAACAATATAGTTGCAGCGATATGCGTCTGTTCATTCATGTTGTCAAAGTTACCCGCCGAATTGACAACACGCTGACGTCACGTCCATTTACAAACCAATCAATGTCAAGATGCAGCCCACACAGATGATGACGACAGGACGCGAGTGTGTCACGTAAAGTCCTTTAGTGCGCTCGCAGAATTGCAGTGTGGAACCAAAACTTTCTGAAAGTATAAAATGTATCAAAACGTGAACTTTGGTTTGGACCTTGGTGCGGACTTTCAGGTGTGAAACCGCCCTTAAAGTCTTAAATTTACCTTCATAAACCTGCAGAAACCCTAATGATTGGTTTGTTGTATCCCAAGTCTTCTAAATCAATATGATAGCTTAGTATGAGAAACACACTGAAATTAAATCTGAAAACTGAAAAATCTCGACGACTGATTTGGAGCAATGTTAGGATGAACGAGTCTTTATTTCAGGTCTATAACAGTGTTTAAAGAAAACTATGTGTTACACCATGTATCACAGTGTATTTAGTAATATGAGTAAATAGTATGGATGTGTAAACATTTTCTCTGCGATAGGTGGATTCTACCAAAAAAAGTTACCACCAAACCCGGAAGGAAGAGCGCACGGCATTGACCCGTGAAACTCATGCCAAGGCCGACACCACCAAATCCCAAGAGGAGGTCCGCAAGTTCACAGATCGCCTGGAGAAATGCACCCAAGAGGCTGAGAAGGTACCGTGGGAAAAAGCACAGACACAGCCGTTTAAGTCATTTTAGTTTTGTGAGGTTTTTCCATTAAGCTTGTAATTACTATATGGAAAGCTTGTCAACAAGTGTCCATGTCTAGGTGGAAGGAGATGGGTGGGGAATGACAGAATTTCCATAAAATGTTGACAAGACAAGGCTTGCTTGTTGCTAGTGCCATTATTACTAATGTCTTACTGTGACAATGATAAATTATGGGTGTGAACAACATGCTTCCGAATGTGTATTTCATTCGCAAAACTACACTTTATACCTTCAGTTTCTGCTTTTTCAAAGATGTAAAGAGAAACACCACCTGATTTTATTTATTTAGAGGCATTTTGCTTTGTTTTCCCATAATTTATAAAAGCAGACTTGTTGTCTGTCTTTCAGATAGTCATGAAATTCAAATTAGTACATTTACATTTCATTTAGACGATGCTAATGTGATGTACAAATCAAGAAAGTGGCACAGCTTTCTCCTTTAGTTTCAACAACTCTCCATCAAAACCTTGTGAATATTCATTGATCCATTAGATGTATTCTGAACAGGAAATTCTGATCTTTGTTAGTCACCCTGTGAACTGAACTGTGTCCTATGACCTACTTGTTTTTTTTGTTGTTGGTCTTTTCTTTGGTTGTTTTTCCTCAGGCTAAGGAACGTTACGAGAGAGCCCTGGACGAGCTGAATCGATGTAACCCACGTTACATGGAGGACATGGAGCAAGTGTTTGAAATCACCCAGGAGGCTGAAAAGAAGAGGTTGCGCTTTTTTAAAGAAGTTCTTCAGGACATACACCAGCACATGGACCTCTCCAACAATGATGGGTAAGTCCCTCCGCCATGCTTCACACGCTACACAGACACTTATCTTCTAGGACAGCATGCTCAGTGTTTCCCCTACCATTGTTTTGGGGGGCCCCAAAACGACCCCCCCCCTAAAATGCTGACGAAATCCAGTCATAAAAAAGGGATTTAGTGTATAACGTGGAATTTCACGGAATTTGTAAATTTGAGGAAAAAATAGAAAGCAGTTCAGTACACTTGAAATCAAATCGCGATGTAGACTAGTGTGTGTGAATATTAAAACACAAAGACTATTTAAATACGAATCCTGCATGTTCTGTGTGAATGAGTGGTGCCGCCGACGCGCAGTTTAATTTACCACACACACACACACACACACACTGAACCACGTGTGACGCTTGCGCTGTTTTTTGGCCTATATGAAGACACAAATGCATGAACTTCCTCTCCAGGCTCTAGATCCACTCTGAAAGTCACTTCGTGATCATTTCACCGCTTCATTTGAGAAAAACTATCATCATGACATAAACACACAGAAACTCAAAAGGTCTTCACGGCAACCCGTCAAAATAAAAGTTCGGTTTAACTTGACAGAAATATATTACTGTTGTACATTAGAATTTAGATATGTCCCAATGTAATAATACACTAACACTAATCCAAATAAATTATCATCAAAACTGACATTTTTAAGGAATAATCCATGTTTTAATTTTAACAGTAAAGCTCATTGTGCAGCAAGTTATTTGACAAAAAGTTTATTTAATTTCATATGATTAAAATTGATGATAAATGATACAATTTGTGTTTTATGTCTTCATTTTATTACCAGAAAAAACACAACACAGAATTAGTGTGATTTTTTTTTTTCCATATATATAAAAAAAAAAAAAAAAGTTTAATGATTCATAATACATGATTTCAATTAATTAGACATGCTTTTTGATTGCAAAAAAAAATTACACCACGTATCCGTAACACGCCCGCTCCGCAACACTAGCAGCCCCCCCCCCCCCCCCCCCCCCCCTGAAAACAAATCCTAGGGGAAACACTGATGCTAATGAACATGTTGAATTGGAAACTCTTTGTGTCAGCAGCAGGGTTTGGTATCGAGAACCGGTTCCAAAATTCCAGAAAGCGGGGATTCGATTAGGCTCATTTCGATTCCTCTTATTGATTCCTTTGTGTGCATGTTAATGTGACTGTAAACCATTCAAGTGCAAGAAAACCGATGTGCTGTTTTTGCTATACACGCATCCAAAGGTAGCGCACAGAAAACGGGATTTTAATGTGATTTTAAACCATTCAAGTGCAAGAAGACTCGCACACTGTTTTCTGTGCTGTACACACATCCAAAACCAGGGTACCCGCGGGTCTTAAAAGCCTTGAAAAAGTCTTGAATTTGATCATCTCAAATTAAGGCCTTAAAAGCCTTGAATTTTGTATACCAAGTCTTGGATTTCGTTACAAAGGTCTTATTTATGTTTTTGCGTTTGCTTGGATTAAGTTCATACCGTGACTAAATTAACTGTTAATAATGTAGGCTAATTCAAAAAGTATGCAACGTTGAGTCAGAGACAATTTTGGTTGAGTGCACCTCGCGCTCCACGTCATAGCAGAAAAAGCGATCGCGTGCGCACACCTTTACTATGGTTACTAGGCAAGTGAGGTACATAACAAGATAGTACCTAGCCTAGTTTAATCCGCTGTGGCCACAAATGACAGAATTTAAACCCCAAATAAGAGCTTTTCTGTTAAAAGAACATATTCTACCCGGTCTTTTCAATAGTATCTGGCAACCATGCGCGCGCTCTCTCTCTACACTGCTGAAGCGCGGATTATCTGAAAACACAGACAAGCTGGTTGGGATTCAGCGATCTTTATTTAAGATGTTCTACTTAAATTAAAGTGTCATTCAGTCGGTCTGTGTTCTGTCACGAGCCGCTTGCGCTGTTTGTGCGACTAAATCTGCGATCAAAATGCAGGCTGATATATCCACCAGTGTTCATACGAACAAGAATGCAATGTTTCCCGAATATCCACACGTTTTCAAATGTGACATTAATTTTTTACAACAGTAAAAAAGAAAAGAAAAAAGGGTAACATTAAGTTATGTTCTACATTTAAAACAGCATTGTCAGGCTTATTGCTCTGTTTTGCAACGAAATATGTGGCTTTGAACGAATCGTGAGATCCAATTAATGAATGACTCAAAGACTCACTCATAAAGATAGGGAGTTATCGCCACCTACTGGCGATTTTAATGTTTTTTAACATTGCAAATTTAATGAACATTGTTTTATTTAAAGCATTATTTCTTTCTTTTTTTAAAAGGTAAAAAAGGGATAATTATGTAGAACTGCACAAGTGCTACATATAAAATAACTACCAAGTAACTGCAGTTTGACTAAAAGTTAAAAAAAAATGCAAAGACTTTTCGTCAACTACAACTATAAAAAACTGGATGACTCAAATGTGATTAAGACCAATAAACATTTTCGTCTGAAGACTAAGACTAAATAAAAAATGGCTGCCAAAATTACACTGGCCTAAACACACATGCGCGCTACAATGCTGTTGCGTATGTATTAAATGAATTAAAACATTTTACTTAAATTATCAGTCAAGTAGCCTCCTTGTACATAATTATTTTCTAGGGTTTAAAATGTATACAGATTTGACATTTTCCCCTCATACTTCTGTCGGAATGGGTACGAAGTTGGCATTGAATTTCATTTGAAATGGTATTAAAAATGTCTTAAAAAGCCTTGAATTTAAGTTGGAGGATCCTGGGGGTACCCTGAAAACGAGCGCACAGAAAGCCGCCTCTCGTACTGAACTGAGTTCTCTTTCGCATCTTTTTGTACTTGAATGGTAGCCTGGAAATCCAGACCCAAATCTGAAAGATTAAGGATCTGGCATTGAGTAATGAAAATCGGCCAACTCAAGGGGCGGCACCAAGCATGCATTTGAAAATCTCACTGCTCGCAATTGGATAACACTATGACCAATCACAACAATACGCCCCATACGCTTAGCTACCAGCGGAGCTAACTGGTTGATTACACTCTTGCCGTATCCGGTCGGCAAAACAGCAAAAACGTCCTTCTTGCAAAGGAATGATTCGAGCGCCGTCTTCTGTTCCTCTTTTAGATAAAAAGCCATAACGCCAATGTGCCGTTTCAAACAACTGGTGTTCATCATCCATAGCCATCTTGCAATGTTTATTAATGACGTCGAAGCGCTGTCGTCATCTGTTTAGCTCCGCCTATATCAGATACATCGATGTGATTGGTGCAGCTCGGCTGCAAGGGCATAGTTAATGAGCATCATTACTCAATGCCAGAGTGACTCGCTGAGCAAATTCAAATTGTGCTCTTGCGAGAACTCTGGATTTCCAGGGAACTTGAATGGACAAATTCACACAAAAATGTCAAAATATCCTCTGCCGTCTCTATAATAACATTAATCAAACTACAAAAGACAAGAGAAAATGTACTCACGGTTCTTGACTGAAATAAAATATACATTTCAAATATAGTTAAAGTTATTTATGAAGTGCAGTGTTATTTCATTAGTTTCTGTACCTGAATAAGTCTTGTTCATTTGTTCTGTTCTATTTATTTGTGCAGTTGCTCATTTGTTCTTCTTTAATTACTGAGTGTGTACTTGTCTTAAATAATTCTTGAAATTTATAGTTGATAGGCTAGTTGGTTTTGCAATGATATTTTTAAACCATAGACGAAAGTTCCTTGTGTAAATGTCGATTTTTGTTCATGGTGTTCAGCTACAATGAAATGTTTTGCAGTAAGACTTCCAATAAATGTGAATGTTAGTTTTTTACCTTATTGGAATCAAAATTAGGAATCCATAAGAATCGTAAAAATTCAAACGATACCCAACCCTAGTCCTCATCAAGTCCATTAATGGTCGTTCACACACCCCAACCAAACAGTGATTAAGAGTAGATTCCCTTTACTCTAATAATACTGCATAATAAACACACAGCACACGCACATTAGGTAAAATAGTTCATTTTTAATTACATGACTATTATCATCAATTCTTTTCCATTTTTAATACAGTATGCTGATATTCATAATCGGCATTTCCCTTATCCAATAGCCTAATTCTCACTGATTGCCTTATCCACAAAGTATGCATGTGATACTTCTACAGAATTTGGCTAAAATGTATTTAAAAGGCAGCTTCCAGTAGACTTTAATCAGGGTAGAGCCGTATTTAGTTTTTGACAGGAATGGAAACGAGGCTGTGAGGGACTGAATTACAGTTGTTCAGTGGATTTTACTGTTGTTTAACAACATACCGATTGCTCAGCTGACACAACATCTTTTCAAAAGACTTTCAGTAGACAAAAAGACCATAGAACATTTTTGAAAGTTGTGCGTTTTGCAAATGAAAACAGTGTGTGCCATAATTGTAAAGACCTATAGAGATTGAGCTAAACAATGCAATATTCTAATAATCGTAAAAAAATAAATGAGTTAAATGGAATGTGTAAATTATTTTGATCTAATCAATACTTTTTGAATTAAATAAAATTCTTAGTCAACATATTTGATTGGAATTAATTAGGGATGCACGATGATATCGGGACAACATCGGTATGCGAGATATAAAGTCAGAATTGATTGATATAAAGTCGCAATTGCGTGTTGTAAAGTCAGAATTGCGAGATATAAAGTCAGATGTTTATTTTAATAAATATTTTAATGCATTCTCTGTCTTTAGAACAAACTGTCAATTAATGAAAGATTGAGCTGAGGTCATGTCTGTCTGCAAATCTGCATATTGTGTTCGGGATCAGTGGCCATTGGCTCTCGCACCTGAATATTTAAATAAGTGGGCCTTGCAAAGAAAGGAGGGTTTGGGGGACTTTTAAGTTTTTGTAAACAAATGTATAGGGGTCATAGTTGTATTAACTAAAACATCTGTTTTGGGTTATAGTGTATATGGTTACCATTATGGAGATCAGTGTTCCTTCTAACTAGGGATGCACG